CCAAAAACTGGAATGGGCTGTCGTGAAAGGGAAATCTAAGAAATTGCAAATGAAATCCATTCGGAGTAACGTAGGGGATTAACGGGACCTCCATGTACGCTGTTCACTCATAATTCCTTTACATTTCCAAGTATTGACTGTTTATGTTTTGGACCAAACAATAGGTCGAATAGTTTGTACCAGATGCCTACGACTACAATTTACAACAGGTAGTACGTTCACCTTTCCTAGTAATAAATTCATAGTTTGTTCCTCAATTAACAATGAGACATATTGTGTTATTGTTCTAATACAAGTGAGAAAAAATCACCAATTTGTACTGTCGAAACGACAATTTAAATATCAACCCATGAGTGATCAATACACAGTCTAAAGCCGCGTTTACGCGAGGCAAGTAGAGCAGGCAGGTTACTTACCTCTAATGTATTTCAACCTACAGCACAGAAAAAACTACGATAATTTAAGATTTATAATTCTCTTATTTGATTCTAGTCTCAAAAGTATTATTATAATTATTTTCTTCATAAATTATTCAATTATATCTTTCATTAATAATTTACTTCGTAACTGGTAACACTACTTGAATTAAAACCAGTCTTAATTTGTATTATAGTTTACTCTTTTTTATCCGTCCAGAGTACGTGCTGGTTATTGTTATTTGAATTTATCATTAAAATATATGTAGTAATTATGAGTCTATAACATCTACCTAAAGTATTCTTAAACCATTACTTTGGAAATAGCCTAGTAAATTCTGATTATTTGTGCTTGACTAATAAGTTAGGAATAAATAATTATAGGAACTTAAGGGTAAAGGTTTTCATTAGATAACATTTTATGTCGGCAATATTACGGTTAAAAACTAATCGAAACAAAACAATCGATTTACTTTCAGATATTTCCAATAATATACTACTACGACAATATACTTTCAGAAAAACCTAAGTTATTCTTATACAAAAAGTATTTTTAAATTTAAACAAAGCCTATGTAAAAATACACTACTTTTTGAAGTAAATTTAGCCCAGGCACATTGTCATTTGGCAAAAATATCACTTTCAGCAATAAGCTCCTCACCCATCTAAGCCGGAAATGCACAACATAATATGTTGTTCTTAAGAATAAGTTTCAAGAATGGTATGCATTGCTCCTAAATAGTACGAACGTCCGGTACTAGAATTGAGTCATTCAATATCATAACTCAACCACGAGAGAAAATTCCACGTGTTTCCGTAGGACGAAGGGTGAATCACCGGTAGAGAGAGGATCAAGACAAATTACGTAGAACCATGCATGTTTAAGCAATAGTCGTCATGCCTTCAAAGCTATTTTAAAATTATACAAACTATACCTGCAAAACAAAATACTGTACATCATTTGATAATAATTCTCAGAGAGCAAGTTTAACCGTCTCACATAATCTAATATGATTTTAATCATAATAAAATAATGCATATTTAGTTCCGCACTACTTAGTACTAAACATTTAATTTGTATTAAACTGCACTTAAAATATGCAGTGTGTCTGTATTTAAAATGGGCTGATTAACGTCGGACAAAAACAAATTGTTTTTAAGATAACTACTTCGAATACTTAATACAGTATCTTAATGTTAATGTTTCAAAATTACTCATTACACTTTAATTTTTAAGTGGTGTATTCAGTGAGGCGTGACTAATGGATTTACTCGCAGGGTCGACCAGCCATTGTCTCTTTTAATCCGTATAAGTAGGGGATTAGTTCTTTGCTCGCGTAGGACCGAGGAGCGCAAGGTACCTCTGCGCTCCTCGGTCCTACCCCTACGGTTTTTATTTATGACCTCCCATTAGAGGAGGTATTGTGCGCTCCTTGGTCCGCGAATCGCTGGGGAGAGACAGCCCTTTCAACACTACCCTTACACATGCTAAATATAGCGACACCTGCGTCCTCAATACTGCCTACAGCCTGTCTAGACCCTCCGTGCAAAAATATGCGACCCTACACGACCGATGTGGAGCACAGCTGTAGCTCGAGAAGGGACAACGATCAGAATCATGTATATGATCAGTGAGTAGTTACGTAAACTAGAATTCGTGCCAGGTACGATCAAGCGAATTATAAACAACAATAAATATATTCGGATCCAGGACACGACAGCTTTCAAGAGCGAATGAGATTGTTAAGTGTGAAGACAATTTTTGATAAAGAATTAACAAAGTTTCCGACTATGGAAAATGTTACAAAATCGCTAGACTCAAATAAAACTAAGAGTTACAAGCACGGGTCCACATAAAATAAGTCAAATCACAGGCGCGCTTATCATGGCGATTAGGCCCATTGAAACCCAAAAAATATACGGTGAGAGCCCTGAGGGCTTCTGGTCACATGTTGGCCTGACTTGAAGTAATGTGACAAACATTTCCAGGTCTGTGTCCAACAGAGTAGAGGGTTTTTTTTAGTGAGTAGTCTGTGATCTGTGATAGATTCAGGAGTCTCACACTACAGGGATTTATGTTATATGAATCATGCGATGAAGAAATATTGTATAATGATAAAGTTACTTACTCCCCTGAGAAAATCAAATCAAATTCAGAAATCACTGGGTCTCATTGATATAAATGAAAATCGTGTTTACAAGAACAATTAATTGTTTTTAAGATTAAATATTGGAGTTCTAATTGTACACAACAATTACAAAATAAAAGGCCAATATAAAATATCGCAGAGATTTGCCCACGCTGAGTTTGAGTTCTATGTCTGGCAACGTACGTAATTGAACGCGTTTGGCGTCATGATAGCGACATGCAGTGCGTCACTAACGTAACGTTGGATGAGTTTGTAGACACAAGTTTCAGCTGGGTTGTGACAAAGGAGCGATGCAAATGTCGGCAACATAGCGGCGCGCCGCAAGGACGATTATGAAAGAAGAGCCACGCCGGGAGGAGAAAAAGAATGACCGCAACGACCCGTTAGTGTCTCGCGCTGCTCAGCGATCCTTCGTTCCTTCCAGGTCCTTGGTCCCCGAGGCTGAGCATATAGCTCCATATAGCACTGGTGGGAGAAAGTGTAATGTGTGGATAAAAACAATGATTACCACAACCTGGTCGGCAAATACCAATCACTCATTTCCTTTACAAACAATAACAAAAACTGTTGTGCCAAAAATATTGAATGTTAACAATGCAATTTGCTGAGAATCAACTGAGACATAACACAACATTCACAAATTGACCAGAAATGTACTATATTTTTGCACAATGGTTTATTTAATTTTTTAATTCCTGTTCCTACGTCATTTGCATGTTCAACATTTTTGCAAGGGGAACGGTCCTAATTATCAAGAACAACAATAATATTAATAATAAAAAAATATTCATTTGCTATCACGAGTTTCACGACGCAGTAGCTACAGTAGTATATTGGGCAAGTCAAGAAAAGTTTGATTAATTTAGTAATTTTACCTGTTAGCCTTTAGTATTTTTTGTGCGTTTAGAACGGACCGACCAAAGTACTTTGAAATTTGAAAACCTGGAAAAAGTCAACCTCGTATATAAGTTAGAAGAAACGTAGGATGCAATATAATGAGTAAAGTATTTTGCATGAATATCCAATCCCGTAGTAATCATTGTCAAACAATTTGACGAATTAAAAATTGTATTAATACAGAACGCGTGTCCAATTTTCAATGGCCCTTTCTCTTCATGCTTGCATCCTGACACCTGTCCTGACACACACAACAACAGCTAACCGCAATAATAACAAATCTTTCACAGGAGCAAAAATGTTTACTACTTTAATTAAATACAAATTACAAACGCGTTAAAATTGTTGACTGCGCAGTGAGCAGCGGAAAGGAGAGGTAGGGAGGTAAGGCACAACGGCACAGTCGCAAAACGGATGTCTCGGTGCGAGGCGAGGGCGAGGGTGGGGATTGTGATACCGGTCTAGTGGGTCACATCAGGCAAAACACAAGACAATGAAGTGAGAGAAAGCCAGTCACTGAGCACAGAGTTGCATCTTGCATCACAGTTTAACCTTGCTCAGCATCAGCGCACAGCGCTTGCGTCTGATCCTACGCCTGAAAATGTGTATCAGTTGCTTCTGCAAACTTTAATCACAATACATCTTTTGTGGCATTTGAGAAATGGGAATGCTATTGGTCACAGTAAGAAAGCTGAATAATTAAAGCTCATAAAAGGATTAAAGGAGACTGAAGAATTGGGAAAACTTTACTCGTACTTTGAACCATTTGTGACGATTTGAAGATAAGCTACTCAGTTGCTTTTATTAAGGGGCAAAAAGAAGCCCTTGTGAATAACAAATATGTGTCATACATTTTGACCATAACTCGGCTTGTCAGCAGCATGGAAATTTGGAAAATTGATGTAGGAAATGAAGGAATTGCCAACTCATCAGCTCAAATTCCTCATCACGAATTGAGTGACGCTAAGATATTAATTAATCTAAGATATTAATGTTAAACAATATATAACCTTGGTCTCACACACATACAGAGAAAACAAAATTTTATAACATAAATACTTAAGATTTCGTGATGAAGATTATAATTGTAAAATTGATAGCTAAACAGTTTTCCTCTTTCAATACATCTCGGAGATAAAGCGTGAGCTACATAGATAAAAAATATGACGCCAGGAACCACGCCTGCAATTGCAAAATTGAAAATACTTTGCAACAGAGCCATAAACTGGGCCACTTATGACGAAAGCGGCCCGTGTCATGCAACTCAAATTGATCACATTTTTGTACCAATGCCGCACTCTCCTCATAACTTTATCTTTTATGCACGCAACTCACGAGTTTGTTTTAGTATAAAGTATTGGTTGTTTCATAGAGAAAGTTGCTGAAATATACCAAATGGACACCAATGCAATAGCTGCAGTATATGATCTGATTGTACAATAGAAGTACATCAAAGCAAACCTATAGGTTAATTGCAAATACAGTACAGAGATTTGTTTCTTAAGAATATTTGTTATAATTCAGAAACAAGACTGACCTGGATGGGTTGTCCTTGTGCTTGTGAGATGTGCAGTTGCTGCGCCTGGTTGATCTGCAGTGTGGTAGAGCTAGGACAGCTAGGAGGTCTAGGCGGAGGTGCCTGAGGTGGTGGTCCCTGACTAGGAGCTCTAGGTGTGTACTGAGGGCTGCCGTGAGCACCGGCCCCTGGACTGCCGTAGGGCGAGTACTGCTGTTTGAACCCCGTGTTGAGTCTCGGCTGCCCCGTCGGCGTCTGGTTGCCTTTACCACTGCCCGGAGAATACACTCCAGGAGAGTTCTGCGCACTGAACACTTCTTGCTTAATGTTATCACTGGACACATAGTTCGACTTGGGACTTTGACTAACCATCGGTTTGTATTGCTGGGAGTTGACGTTATTGTTCTGAGGACTCCCAAGGTAATCGTTGTTGCCGTACTGATACTCGCTGTACGGCTTGTTCGCGGGGTTAAAGTTAATGCCTAGCTGCGTCTTGTGCTGATGCTGTTCTGCCATCTGCTTGAGCGTCTGCGCTGCCGGGCTCAGCTCAGCTTTGCCAAAGTCCATTCCCGAGGAATACATCCTCTGTTGTTGCATACCTTGCCGCTGTTGCTGGTGGGACCCGAGAATGTTGCTCTTGGAGTCTTCCTCAGTCTTGAACACGTGCTGCAACTGTTGTTGCTGGTGTTGTTGATGAACCTGCTGCTGCTGCTGCTGTTGTTGTTGTTGTTGTTGCTGCTGCTGCTGCTGTTGATGATGGTGATGGTGGTTGTTGTGACTTTGGTTGTCTCCGGAATGGATGTTGTGTTTTATATCACCACCGACAAAATCGAGATCTTTCAAAAACGCTGGATGAAAGTCGGATATTTCCGAGATGAGATCCTTGAACGCGTCAGAGGTGATGATTGCGTCCGACGTCTCGTCGCCTATCAGATCGGAGAAGCCCGGGAAGGAATTGCCACCGTTTGCCGCGGCGTCTTTTTCTAGCGCCGCGGCGCACTGTTCAAGGTCTACAAACTCCGGGTTGTCCTCTTGCTCACGTTTGCACTCCACCGTGGTAGGCGTGGACGGCTGCGGACTGACCGTGGTCGTGGACAAGTCGCTCTTGACCGACGTGTTGAGGGCCTTCACCGTCACGTTGGTGGAGATCTGAGAGTTATTTCCCGCACTGGTGGTAAATTCCAGTTGCTGGACGATCTCCACGGAGAACTTGGTGAGCGGCTCAGCAGAACTAGGCTTGGACTGCTGCTTGGGTGGCGGAGGACCGTCCCCGTGGCCGTACCCGTCGTGGTCATCTCCTGCTGATCTCTTGGGCACGAACTGCTGCAACAAATACACAACAGTTAGTTCACACCCAGTAGACGACAAATAATGAAACTTAAGGTAGGCAGTGTAAAATTTAGTTCAGGAAAAGAGAATTATAGCCCATCCGATGGTTTTATAACACTTGGTCCATTGAACCCTTCCTGTAGAACAAACACACAGGACAGTGATGGAACAAGGAATGGAACCGACGTTTCTGTTTATGAACTCTGATATGAAAATACTGTACTCAATGAAGAGAATATTTTTAGAGTCAAAACTATTTAGTGTGAAACTATATCATCCCCAGAATTAAAGAATCCACATGATTTATCGGTGAGCAGGATGAGGTATAGCGTAATGGATACCAGAGTACCAAACCCAAAACTTCCAGACTTCTGAATGTTTTATTTATGCTACTGTATTTTAAACAAAAGGGATTTTCGTTAAAATCGTTTAATGTATTATAAAGACTTTATAACGGATTTCTGCTCTCTCGGTATTTTTCTTTTGCTGTTTGCTAATATGCCTTTCACTAGAACTGCTTCTCTTCCGGATATCCTTTGCGTCTAAAATATTTATTTTACTTCTGTGTAAGGTAGTTATTTAAATGTTTATCTATAGGCCTAACTAAAAAAGCTCTACATAAGCCGGCATTTGTGTGCTAAGCATTTAGCCAATATTGTTTTTGTTCTAAAAAGAAACCAAATTCATAGAATACTTCATTGATTATTACTTTTTATAATTGATAATTTACTTAATGAACTAGATGAATTGCATCCGTCTAGCTAGATGGTTATTGAGTTGTATCTATTCGGGTTTCCACCTAGTAGCAACACAAATACTATGTCACTGCGGAGTTTTGGAATGGGATCAAACCTTATCTACACAATATTAATTAGTGAAGTAATTGTAGGAAAAATCACTTATCAGCCTTTCCTTCTGCTAGGTCATCAGCAGACGGGTGCACTACCCTCAGGCCGTCAAGTGTCAACTACCACCTACAATTATCACCATAAGTATGACGATCACACAGCCATAGTCACTTTATAAACATTTCTATAAAACGCAAAAGGCCTTCAGTATGATCAAGAAGATTTCTCCAGGGTCTTTGCAAGGATGTTCTGACATCTAGTGCTCTGGGACTTATGATGATCAATTCAACTATCCTTCAACAAAGGTAATACTCTTGCATACTTCGATGGAGATAAATTTACCAGTGTATGATGAATGGACGAAACGTCTTGTGTAACCTTGTCTTAGCGAGAACAATCCCACCGTATCGATGGACATAAGCATGTTGTCCAATCTATGTGATGAGAAGTGTTACTCTGTAGGGTGAGAAAGGGATCAGCTGATTTGGATAACATCGGAAACTAGACCAGAATGCCGCCCACACCACGTAACGCCAAGGCGGAGTTGCGCAATCTAGGCCTAATTGCTGGGAGCCAACCATGTAAATACGGACAATACGGGGCTTTCACCCGCGGCGGCGCGCCGTAACAGCTGAGAGCACGAGCAAGATCTGGCCAAACCTCAACCAACCAACCATCTCTGCAGGATATTGTAATTCTACCATGTATTGATTAGGTGACATTCGATGTCAATGACCAGTAAAAGAATAATGTCCGGTCGGAACAGAACAAAACGATACAGTGATGAACCTGGACGAACATAAACATAAGTTACCAGCTATTCTCTGCAGAAGTAGGGCCTACCTACATGGCTTGATACAAAGTTCTACAAATCAATCATTTTCTACACGTCTACACCTGGTCCAAGTGGTCCGAGAAGATCGATACGTAGAAGCTATAAACTTTTGTTTCATACACAGAATCTCGTTATAATTAATAATACAATTGAAGCAAGTTCCTAAGAAATGTCATGTAATCACTTTTCATTCTCCTTCTTTAAAACTATTTAGAAAGAAATGAAGATGAAGGTCGAAATTGTAAATTGATAGGTGGATTGAAGCTATTTAATATTTGCTAGCCTGTCTAAGCTGAGAGTAACATTAAATAGCAGTAACAATATAGATGATTGAACGACAAGTAAGCAACATTGGGTGAGCAAGATGATAAGGTTCATTATCTTCTTCAGCATGTCGCGCCGAATGACCCAATACTGGCCCTGTTGCTGTATCGTGTCTGGACACAAATGTAATTTGTCATTGTAAAATCTACTAATGCTGCTATCTAACAAAAGGTTGACGTTGGTATGAAGACTAGGATTTCGATCGTTCCCTAGATATAGCCTAAACAAATTTAACTGGAATTGATAGACACGAATAAATAAACCCAAAATCACGTATTACGAATGAAATTTTAGTTATTTTCGGAGAAGAGTTTTTTTTTTTTTTATTACAGTGAAAAATCCTTTATATAGATTTTTATTTCAATGTAAGCAAATACATGTTATTCATGTAGTATTGGTAACAAAAAAACCAAAGATATCACCCATCCCATACCACATTCATTCTACCCTAGTATATTGAGATATCCGGTATTTGAGTTACAAGTTTGTTTACAAAACTGGTAAAACACAGTTGTAAGATATTTGGCGCAATATTAAGGTGCGACGTAACTAAATTACTTAGCCGAGGCACAGACAATATAATACTCTAATGCAGACGGTCAACTGCATCTGCGCTAGGCGCTGTTTCATGATGCGGCTGTATTGCCGCGCCACTGTAGCGGAAGACGCGAAACGTTTCCTCCTCGAGTGGCGCCGTGGGATTCTATTTGAATTTGAATGAACGCGCTTTGATTGAGATATTACTCGAAAACTATTTAAGATATCTTTATGAAACTTGGTATACAGTTGTAATACGTCATAATGTATTTAAGGTAAAATAATCATTTACACATATGATCCTGTTTCAAAATAGCGGTGTTTTAGCGAATTTCCCATATAGAATAAGCTATTACCGTAGTACTCATCGTAATACCTGGACCCGGGACCGATTTATTTTTCGTTTTAAGGTCCCTAGGGGCAAAAAACACCAACCGTTTAAATTTATATACAGTGTGTAAATAAAGTCTTGAAAGAAATATGTATTTTTTAAACCGAAATAGATAGAAATATTCTGTTAGTGACGTTGGCTGTTAACAACGGTTCCGTAATTTTTTATATCAAAAATATTTTTTAACCCCCCTAACTGGGTATGGGGTAGGGGTGACTTTTTTTCAAATAGCAACCCCTATTGAGTGACCCCTCATTTCGAAGGATTTGTCAAAAGAAACACAATTACGCAAACCCGAGGTGGATATCTCACCCCTAGCGAAAATGGCAGGTATTCCAAAATTTGATTTAATGTATGTGAAAAAGCGCCAATTTCAAAAATATGGAAAGAAATATGTATTTTTATAACCGAAATGATAGAAATATTCTGTTTGTGGAATTAATTGTTAACATAGGGCCTAGGTTCCGCAGTTTTTAACATGAACAATATTTTTTCACCCCTTTAACAGGGTAAGGGGTGGGGGTGATTTTTAAAACAACCCCTATTGAGTGACCCCTTATTTTGAAGAGCTTGTCAAAAGAAATACAATGACGCAAATCCGAGGTAGATATTTCATCCTTAGCCTATATGGCGCACTAAGTTTTAAGTTGTTGCTTCTAATTTCCATCAGATTTGCCTTAGGAGATCTGCTGACTTACTACACTAAGAACTGGAACAAACTTCCTGTTAGGTTTCGCCTTATTTCGCGAAAAAAAATTTTGATATCTTTACTATTTTTAAGATCTTTTTAACTGGATGTAGTTTAATAGGAAGTTATAAATGCTAAATTATAATGCTCGTACGTGGTGTATAATGTATAATTTCCTATACGTGATGCGCCAATGTTTTGGTAATAATAAAAACTTACACTTTGAAATTAACTGTGACCTTATTGATGTAGAAATTATTAAAAAATCCCATTAGAGTGGACTGTATAAATGAAACTGATTAATAAATTGCCATAACGAAACGAATGCGGTTGTAACTATAAATGGAATTGACAAGTGAAATACGTGGAGGGATCTGCCTGCTCTTGACAAAAGACACATCCCTCGCCCTAGATTAGGCCCGCCGCTCATTGGAGCGAGGCCAGGTGCAGGCTGTAGAGTTACAACAATTCCACGAACTGGTGAGGAAGTGCCTGTCCTTTCGCAGAAGGACGGTGTTTATGACTTGTGCTAAAATATTACAAGTGGCCCTATCCGAACAAACAGTAGACTCTACATTTTGAATATGCTTATGTTTTATTTGATTTTTTTTATCCATTGACAACATTCTTGAATTGTTTGTACTTACATTTGGGACACCCAGTATACATCTCTGATTGGGCCGTGAATGCGATAACTTTAGTAATTTTGGTCTGATTTTCATGAAATTTGGGTTAGAGATGTATGATGGGAATTACATTGTACATCTATTTACACTACTAGTCACTTACCATGATATCTTTCATGACGTTGATCGTTATAAAAAACCTAAGACCTACACAAAACTCTGTTGATGATTAACTAAATGTATTTACGAAATTACCGAAAATGAGCCATTATTCGTTTAGAAATATTTTTTAGACGTGTTTCTTTTGGAATTTTTTAAAATTTCATTTTTAAATTTATTTTAAGGATAACTTTTAATTATAAGTAAAATTAGTCTTTTGACATATTTGAATAGAAGAGAAATAACATGTTATGACATCACTGACACGGATAGCATAAAATTGAGTCCTATTTTAATGTTAACTCTGCATTTAATATTTTAGTCTAATGGCAATACTTGCATTATTCATCACAGTTCGGTTAACTGGATTCATCTAAGCATAGGCAGGCGTTTAACTGAATCTTGAAAATAAAACAATCATTATTCACCTTGCTGGAAAAAATGCAAAAAATAATGTTATGACTTAGCTCTTATGTTTAGTGGTAAAATCATAAGGTTATAATTAGACAATAAATTCTCTCTACAAGCATTTGTTTTAATTTATACAGTACAGTAAATAGTTTAAGTGAAATTCTACATCAATGTA